AAATTAGAAAAATATGTTATTTTAATAATATTTTAACTAAATTTATCTTTGTCAAAATCAAAAATTTCGACCCGTGTATCACTCTTCTTATATATTAAAAAATTCGTTTTTATTTCTTGGTCTTTGTCTTATTCTAATTTTTCCTTCAATGATCACATTTTTTTGAATGCATGCGACTTTGTCAGTTCTTTTTTTGTTTTTTTAAAAAATATCTCAAAAACTAATGTTAAAAGATGAGTTAAAATTCATAATTATGCATTTTTGGCCATTTTGAGCAACTTTTATTAATGCATCAAGATTAGAAAAGTGAAATGAAATTTATTAACACTTTTGACTTTGGGAATCTGAAATTGAATTTAATATATAACTTTGTTACAACAAATAATGGCTAAATTACTATTAATTTATAGTCTGAAAAGTCTATTTTATTATTTTAATTTTAAAATAAATAGTTCAGCTGTGGATTCCGGGTATAAAATAATTTCAGTTGGACAATGCTTTATTGTCATAGAACCCGACTTGGTAATTCAAAATTTTAATTTACAATCTATCATCCGACGATCAAAAGAAATAGTAATAGGAATTAAAAGGAACTCAAAAAGGGTGTCGGCCGAAAGTTCATCTTTTATTGAGAGAAAAGAAAAGAAGAAAAGAAGACAAGAGAAAAGCAAAGAAAGATCAACTCTTACCAAGAGGATCGAAAGAACTAAATTTGAAATAAACGAGAAACGAAACAACATAAACGATAAAAGAATATAACAAACAATACAGAAACTTGGCAAATTTCCAAGAAGGAATGCCCGCCCGTATAAAATTTTACTTTGAACCGAAAGAAATTAGAAGAAAATTGAAAAGTTGATGATCTTGACTAGAAAAGAAACAAAATAAAGTTAGTTTGTGCGCACAACTTTACAAAACAAAACAGGTTCTTTGTAATAAAATACTTGCATAAATATTAAGCATTCTTCAAGGAAGGAATCACTGAAATAATAAAAATAAATATTTTATAATGTATGTATTATTTTTTATTATATCGAAATAAAGCAAGCAAGCAAGCGTATTGAATCAATCAATAAATCAATTAGATTAAACAATGGGAAATAATTATTTTTTGTTTAAATGACTGAATGAACGAATATTATTTAAAATTGTCATCTTCCAACGACATTAATAATCGTTTTCAACAGGTCTTCTCCATACGATCCATACATACCTAAGGAGGGTGCTTCTGGTGGTCCACCTTCAAAAACTTTAGAAATTCAAAAAAAAATAGACGAGACTGTAGAAGTTATGCGTGATAACCTTAAAACTGTTGCTGAAAGAGGAGTGAAATTAGATACTTTACAAGATAAAACTGGTAAAGAATTTATGTTAGAGAGTAAAGAAACACTTTAAATATTAGTACTGTAATATCATCTCACTATTTTTTTGTAAATAGAAAATTTGTCAGTATCAGCACAAGGATTTCGTCGTGGAGCAAATAAAGTACGGAAGCAAATGTGGTGGAAAGATATGAAAATGAGAATTATTATTATTGTTGCTATAATAATTTTATTATTGATTATTATTTGTAAGTAATATCAATTACTATATAATATTGGAAAAAATATATATATATAATAAGAAGCATACCAACTAATTAATTAATCAATTTTTTTTTGTAGTGCCAATTGTTCTCTAAAAAATAATTTATAACCAAATTTCATTTATTCTTTTTCTGTCTATGAAGAAGAAAAGAAATCAGAATTCATTATTATTGTTGTTGTTACTGTTATTTTTGTTGTTGTGGTCGTTGTTGTCGCGTTGTCGTTGTTGTTGTTATTGTTTTTCTTGAATTTGAAATACATGTAAACCCTCTTACCTATATATATTTTATATCTTGTATTATTATTTAATATTAAATATTAAATATATATTTAAAAAATAACAGTATATTATGTTTCTGATGTTGCAGATGTTGAATCTGCTATTTCTTTTAATTCACCCTCACCACAAGATGGTGTATATATAATAGTAATTAATGGTGCGTGATTAAATTGTATGACTTGATAAAGTCTGTAAAAGATGATTATATATTTATTTTCTTTAACCCTAATTTCGATGTCTAAAATTATAAATTTTCTCTCTATTTGCATAATTAAATAATTAAATTACCTGATCACTGATAACTCCAAAAGTTGCTCAAATGTTTTAATGGATGATGCATTACTTTGTTACAGCTTATCATTATTTAAAAATCAATTGATTCCTAATCGATTTACATTGCTTCTTACATTTTATTATTGCAACACCATCTTTGTTAGTCACTGTTACAGCTTTAAAACCATCCACTCTATTGGAATAACATTATTTTATATGAAATGATACACTTATATACACATGCTTATTCCAAAATGCTAACTATTTTTTGTAATTCAACTTGTCAAAAGTAGGACTTTTTATATGGGGGATTCAATCAGGACATGCCAAAGAGTTGAGAGATGCACAATTGGATTTTCTAAAATTACTGGATTTTTCCATATTCAAACCCCTAATAGAGATCAATCTCTTGATGATGATGATGATGATGATGATGATGATGATGATGACAAAGATGAAGATGAAGATGAAGATGATATAACTGGAGAAATATAATAGATTCTGTTGAATAATCCCAATTTAGACAATGATGCAAAGTCTAGATTAACAGCAACTGGGATGTATTTTAGAAATTTAAATAATGGTAAAAAAAAGGTTGAAGCAAGTAAGATAGTGGCAGTATCTCTGGGTGGGCAAAAAATTATAAATATAATTAACAATAGAATTTGTTGCATCAAGCTGTGAATTATTAATATTTATATTTTATAAAAGAATAATAATTCGAATAAATGTGAAATGTAATGTGTAACCAGCTCAGTTTCAAATCGGAGGTTTAACTACGGTTTGAATCGAACCGCATCAGTTCAGTTTCGAACTGCTGGTTGAACCAGTGTGTGTATGCTGATGGTAAATCTACTTTATTGTTAAAGATGGATGAGGACCCTGCAAACTATATAGATAGGTTACATATAAAAATCACAGTTTGATATAGGGTTTGACCCACACTGTGATTGGCTTATTGGATACAATCTTCCCCAAATTTGGTAACTTTTCACCAACATTGTATTTTCTAATAGTAAAAATTTTGGGACACATGAAAAGAACGGGAGACGGGCAGGTGTGGCTTGAACCCGTCCCCCGTCCTTTTCTATTATTCACGAGGAAATCTTGATAAGGACGGGCGAAAAAGGGACGGTTTTGCTGCGCCATTACTTCCCATTCCTGATGTTTTCTTAAAAAGGACGGGCAATAGGATATATATCCTTGATTTTTGTGTCTCAAATGTTACAAAATTCCATCATCAGGACAAGAAGCTTAATTTCCTATTCTTGTAATATTTAATTCCATCCAATAAACCAATATAAATTAACATATTAATATTAATATATAGAAAGTTGCATTTAAATACAACCAAGTTTTCTGAACTTCACATAAACTTCATCAATTTACCAGAAATCTGATCGGTCATTTATTTCCATCTAATAAATTTTATTCATTTGTTAGAAATAAGAAACATCATGACCAGTCATTCATTTCCGCTGATATTTGATAACTGACCAATGAATTTGTTGGAAATCGGAAACATCATATTTGATAACGACCAATGGTCTTTATATTATATCCACTAAAGTTTAAAAAAAAATAATAATTAAAAAATGAATAAATAAATCAAAACAACGAAATTAAACGCCTTGCATATGAATTTTCCTGATTTTTGGTAGAAGCATACTTTGAACAAATCGACAGATTATTACAGATTATTGACAGATTATGAAAAAGCAAGTTTAGTACTATTTATTTCAATAATGAATTGTTAAAGAAAATGTGACTTATATATGACGAATAACATCTTGTAAATTCATATCGATAGGGTAAAAACCCAACTGTAATAATGCAAAATAAAAAGAACGAGGGACGGGTTCAAACCACACCTGCCCATCACTTGCCCTTTTCATGTAACCGATTATATTATATGTTTTAATTAGCTTATTTATTATCTATTATGATTTGTATTCTTCATTATTTTATTTTTACAAAAGTTTTAGCCACAAATGTATAATAAAAAATAAAAATCAAGACTTTAGATAAGGAATAAATAGAGACAGGAAATTATAATAGTCCAATTTTGCAGCCTGTTTACTAAAAATTATATTATGACAAGCACCTTTCACCTGTCCTTTTCATGGTTTGCCCGCGAATAATAAAAAGGTGCAGTGGGACGGGTGGTAATGGCACAGTAACCCGTACTTTTTTCGCCCATCCTTTTCAAGATTTGCCCATGAATAATAGAAAAGGACAGTGAACGAGTTTCTACACCTTCACCACGCCATGTTAGTTACTCGTACTTTTTTACATTATTTTGCAGAATACCCGTACCATCACCCGTCCTTTTTCTAATATTAATGGGCCAAACTTGAAAAGGACGGGGCGAGCAGGTGTGGCTTGAACTCGTCCCCGTCCTTTTCCAGCATCACGTCCTGATGGATGGATATTCAAGTTATATATAAATACTATTGCCAAATAACATCATAGTAATAGTAAAATTTGTCTTATGTACACTCTACCCTTAAGTTACATTTGTGATAATTATAAAGTTATACCCACCAACCACAGGACTGGAACTCTAAATTGTTTTGTAGTGCAAAAGAACAGTAGACAAAACATTCCTTTAAAAAAAATGAACGAAGGTATTATTTTTTACACAGAAAAATAACTATTTTAAAAATATGTAATAATAGTAAAGGGATTTTTACATTGTAATTTAATATTGCTTTATAATTAGCAAAATTCTATAAAGGTAAATAAATATTTCACAAAATAAATTTATTATGGCATCATCTTATTAAATAAATTTTTATTTTTATTCTTAGGGAGTAAGTATTATATTATAAATTAACCTTTACAACATAAAATAAACTTTATTAAAACATCATCTAATTAAATAAATTTATTTTTTATTTCTTTATAATAACCAGTTTGTAAGCATTATATTATAAATTAACTTTTACAATACAAAATAAACTTTATTAAAACATCATCTTATTAAATAAATTTTATTTTTTATTCTTAGGGAGTAAGTATTATATTATAAATTAACTTTTACAACACAAAATAAACTTTATTAAAACATCATCTAATTAAATAA